AACTGAAAACAGTGCAGAGTTAAAGATGGCATGTTTTATGAGGCTGGGACCTAAATCTTTAAACAGGGCTGTTTCTCATTATCTGTACCTAGTTCTCAATCTTCCTCTGTCTTATTTTCAGATGATTAACAAGAAAATCTAAGCCTTTCTGGAAGAAGACTTTTGACTAGGATACTGTCGCATACGTCTTCTACCTATGGAACATCCCATCAGTTCTCTGTGTATCCAAGGACATCAGAGCTCCTAAAACAGGAAAGAAAGGTTATAGAAGTACCTCTGTAATAATATTTTTTGGCTAGCAAAAGAAGGATTTTTTGAGATTTATGACTCTGAATCTTTAAGCAGTTAATCATAGTAAGGTGCTTTTCCTTCTTAACCATCAAGGAGTGGAGTCAAATGGGTTTTTCTGTGAGTATCAATTATAATCATACACTGGCTTTATTAGAATATATTCTCTGCATGAAGGGCTGGATTAGAAGTAAAGATTTGATTTCAATATGATCTACTTAATAATGAAATGCATTTTATATAAAATATTAAAAAAATTAAAATATGATAAAAGGAATCTGCTATTCAACTTTCATGAAGATGGATGATATATTTATTTGTCTTGACCCAAATCTTCATTGGAATCTGTATCCATTTTCCATCCAGCGGATTTCATAGCTTTGATCCTCTGAAGACCTTTAAAAAATTTCAAGAACTAATTAACATACTGAGGTGAATAGACCAGATCGATAACATTTTGTAACCGCACAGACAAAAAAAAATATTTTCTATGTAGCTCACAGGAAAAGTCTGATTTCATTTCACTGTAAATCCATCACAGTGCCATTGGCTTCAGAGCAGTTGCTGCTCCCAATTTACCAAGGCACAAGACCCCCTGTATTTTATTTTCTTTTTCTGAAAGAAAACAAAACACAGATTTCCAAAGCACATTAATGGTCAAAAGAATAGCAAATGGGACAACTTTTTTAACACTGTACTCCTGAATTTTCACTTTTCTGAGACACTCTGCAATGCTGCATGTACAAACATTGTCATATATATGTTGGAGAGTACCCTATTCATCCTATCTAACTAGCCATCTAGGACTTAGGAGTCTTATCCAAGGTAGTTCTCTAGGTCCCCTCTATAGAAAAAGATCAGCACCTTTGCTAGGGATGATTCTTTTCATCCTGTGATAGGTGGGCTGTGGAATATTCTGTTCTTTCTCCATAGAAGGAACAACCCAGGAAGCTTTGCTAGACAGCTTGCAGTAGCTCAAATCAATAATGGCCAGTCTCTTCGCGAACGAAGAACCGGGGAAGGTCTTTCCACCTTCCAGCCTGCGCATTGGATTTTTTAGGTGAGACACAGTGTGCGCGGAACTGAGCCCACCCTTTAATCCTGAGGTTCATCTGCCGGGGCCAAGCACGCTTGGACGGTGGCAGTGAGGTCCTCAGGACGTAGATGGATT